CACTGTGAGCACAAAGGAGTCATGGAGAATCAGACTTTGAAATCTGAGATCTCTGAATGTGGATCATTTGAGAAAGCCCGGGGTTTGCCACAGCCCCACATCAAAGCACCAGTAAGTAGGAGGGCATTAATGTAGTTGGTTGGCATGGGGAATGCACCTTAGGAGGTGAGGACATGTGGGCTCTACCCAGGGAACACATGCATTGTGGGACACTGGCCAGGTTTAAATTAAGCAACCAAGGTATGTGAACTGTTAAGGAACACCACCTGACCTTCAGCCCTCTTGTCCCTCATTTGTGCCTGGCTTCCTGGCACAGGCAGTTTTTCTGTGCTCATGCAGTCAGCAAACACATCTCATGCCTAGCAGAGATTGCTAGGCATGTCAGACCACACTCTGCCTAGCCACAAAAAAATGAGATGACCATCTCAGATCCCCCTAGCTTATCATGGACCTCCTCCCACCTCTTTCCTCCTTCTAGAGAATACATATTTCCAAAGAAATTCAGGTTCCTGCAATGACTGCTGTTTATCATGCATACATGATGTGACCCTGTAGATTTAACAGTTCTGTTTCCCTGAACGTATTACTATCTCTCAGTCCCTTTTGCCATGTGCTTGTAGTGGCATTTCTTGGCCTTTCCTAGACAGGAGGAAATAGAAGATTTGACACCACTTTTGTTGGTCTTCCAGTGAACAGACAAGCCCTTCTTCTAGAGCCAGGTAAAATACAGAGCTTGACAAAATCACTGTTGTCCATCTGTGGAAAGGATGCTAGCTAGCTAGTGCCAGCCCTCTGGCCAGCCCTGAGGACTTCAGAGACAGACAAGGAGCTACAGGCTGATGGGTTCATCAGGTAAGACAAACACTGGAGACATACAAACTGAATGCTCTACACAGCCATATTTTAGCCTCTTCCACATTCTTCCCTGAGTTGTAGGGAAAAATCTGCTCATTGCCTACCAAGAAGCAAAGATCAGGGATGCAAGTGAACACCTCGTGCAGGAACTCTTAGACCAAAAGAAGATGCTCATACCATCCTATGTAATGTATTCCTGGAACTGACCAAAGAGCGTCATTGCACAAAGCAGTAGTACAACATACACAGCCAGCAGACATCAAAGCATGATGCAAATAACCTCTTCAGTAGCTAATGTAGCCCAAACCCTCAGTTTTGAACTGTGAAAAAGAGGCACAGGGTTTGCCATGCTGTTACTAGACATGATGGAACTACTTCCCTCTGACATGAAGGAAGGCTCAGCCATCTATGATGACATGTTACTCAGTTGCAAAACTGCCATTGAGGCTGTCTTAGGACAGACACCAAGCTGCTAATGTGACCCAATGCACTGAAAGAGTCTATGGCACATCTTCCTTTTAACTGTTGACACCACAGATTTACGTGTGTTTCTGTGGGCAGATAGAACTGTACTGACCTTGGCTTAATAGAACAGCTAATTTCCAGGGAAAGGGGAAGGTTGTACTCATCCTGTGAAGCTAGTGGCATCTCAAAACTGGCCTATCTGGTTCACAGCACCTGAGGTTTCCTTTTTTTTTTCAATATTGCCCTGTGCTCTCCATACTAACCTTCTTTTCTAATGGCTCCACCAGAGTGATGCAGATCCCCTGACAATGCCAGAAATTACTTTAATTGCCACCACCTGGGAGCAAGCACTATGGTATGAAGGCCCCTTTTATATCACAGGTGTGAGCTGTGGGCTTCCTCACATCACAAGAGAGACTGGCTACTCAGTGGTAAGATTGGTGAAATATGGGATGGATAACTGGGCAGTCAGGTGGGTGGAAAATTGGCTGGACTGCTGGGCTCAGAGGGTTGTGCGAGTGCTGCAAAGTCCAGCTGGCAGCCAGTAATTAGTTAAGTTCCTTGGAGATCAGTCTTCTCCAGAATTTCCACAGATATGCCCATGTTCTGCCTTATGCTTCACATGCTCATTCACACCTCAGCAAAATGAACGCAAAACCCTCCTTGTTGCTAGCCTCTATGCTGATGCATTTATGCCCACTGACTTTCAGAAGTTTTGTTACAAAACCTGGAGAGCAGGCTGCTGACTCCTGGGATCTGCAGGCTAGTCCGCATGGATTGCAGGGCTGTGATCTGGCATTCTGCTACCCTCTTTGACAGCAGGGCAGCCCTCCTTTAATGCGATGCCAGCTGCAAAGAGCAGTCAAATGGGACTGAGCATGAGGCAATGACGCTAAAAGCAATGTTAACTTTGACCAGAGGTGGTTCTTCCTGGGCATGAGGTTGCCTGCCACCACCTGAATTTTTCTGTGGTCACCTAAGTCTTTCTGAGTTACCAGCTTTCTGCGGCGGGCAGGCAGCAGCACATGTGTTGGCAGCCAGCCCAGTGCTGCAGCCCCGGGGGAAGTCTGCTGCACCTGCACTGTGGCCCTCTGCGGCAGGGGAAATCCCCAACAGCTAAAGGCTAGTAGGGTTAACCTTGTTAGCTTCACCTCTACTATTACTGATTGGTTTTGCATCTTTTTGTATGCTTCGTAGCTGCAGGGAACAGTGGACTCTTGGTTATCTCCAAATAAGAGACTTTCAAACCTTGTAGTCCTCCCTAATTGTAGAGGAAGGTTAATAAAAATGAAAAGGGACATGACACCATTGAGCAAGTGACAGAGAGGAACAAACCCTCTGCTGCTTGCTTCTCTTCCCTGTCTCTGGGACATTTTAAAGATTCCTCAAAAGTAGCTCAGTTCTCCACCAGACTTTCTCCAACTGTTGCTAGAATTATCATCTATTCATATTATCCAGCACCAAAGCCAGTCAGGGGACTGTTTGTGAAATTACAAAGAGTTTAATCCATGATCAGTGTGATTAACAAGACCACTGCGAGATGAAAGAAGGTTGGGTATGCTTGTTGTAGGAAACACGCATTTTCTTTCTTTGTGGTACAAAGTTTCCTCATTCTTTTTCTCAGAATAGCTACAGAGAACGGAAGCTTCTCAGTTTGAGATCTAATCTGCTCTGCCTTCGCAGGAAGTTACAAATGTCTTGAACAAGCTTTCAGTTGACACATTCTTCTGAACAAGACCTTTGGACAAAGCCTTACTGATTAGAGACAGGAGTGGTTAAACTACAACTTGTGTCCATAGTTACCACCTAGTTAACCGCATGCATTTATCCTCTTGCCATCAGCCCAAATTATGCAGGGTTTGATTCTGGTAAAATAATAGCAGCTGTTGGGTGTTTTGCTCTGTTGAAAGCCTTGCCTGCCTCACTGTAACTAGTTACGGAGGCCTATTTTCATTTGCAAGCCTATGCAAATAAACATTTCTCAGAATATTTGTATCGGGATACATCTCTGGTCTCAGTGGTTGTTAGTCCTTGACACAGCTAACTGACCCATTTCTTGACAGTCATAATCATATTTAAACTCGCCTCAACATATTTTTACAGGTTCAGCAATTTCACAGATGTCTAGATAGAAACAACCGGAAGACTAAGTGCCTCTGCTGCAAAAGCCAAAAGATAAGCCCCTCTTAGAGGAATTCAGGCTGACTTTCGTCCTGTAAAATGAGGAGATGATAGAAGCCAATCCAACTACATTATTTCAGAAAAAGTTATTAGAGTCATATTAAGTCAAGTCAGTTCTGCATGTCATGACACACTGCTGGTTGGAAAAGCCCTAAGAAACAAATATAGCTGCTTGATACAAGCTCTCACGTACTTCATCCCTTCAAGGGATTCTGCATCCCCACCATGCCTGGAAATGTAGGGTCATTGCTGCTAAATGATGACAATTGTTGTGAGCATAAAAAAATAACTTAAAACCAAAACCAAGTCTTAGCATTTGCCATTCTTATTTATTTTTCTAAACAGACTTTATTTACTCCAAATCTTTGAAATCTAGTTAATGCAATTTTCTAAAATTGCCGTTTTTATAGTGTCGCCTTCGAAGCAGATATGTGTATTAGGAGTCTGACAGCAACAGTGATTTCAGGGCTCATGAAAACTACAGAAAGCATTTCCATGGGGGGGAGGGAGAAAAGCTTTCCACTTGTTTATAGCTTCTTCAGAAATACTCTTTTTGGGGTGGAACTTTCCATGTTTCATCTCTTCTGAAGGTGATTTTCTTTTAAGCTGTCAGCAATATGTGGAAACTTTTTAACATAAATGCAAAATGCCTTAAATTATGAAAATTGTGTGACTAATTGGTGAGCAAAAAGTTTCTCTATTGATTTGATACACAGATTGTTATGCATGATAAAAATGCTCAGTGGAGTTGCCATTTACTGTGTTAGTCTTAGACAGAGCAGTCTTTGAAATCTAATGACCACATTAAAAATCAAGTCGTTTTTAAAGGGCTCAAACACATGATTCTATTTATTTTTGAAGGAAGTACTCTAAAAGAAGACAGGCAGTTAAAATGTGTATTTCAGTGCAAAATATACTTGGAAATGACAATAAAATCTCATATGAAAGACAATAGTGCACAATAACCACATTATCTTCCAGGTTTGTATACAAACAAATACTGCGTTAACAAACTTTACACCACGCACAAAAGGTAGGATCTTCACAAAAAATCATCATAAAAGCATATCATTGATACTGTTTTTTTTTTTTTTTCTCCAAGCTTGTATTCTCTGTATAATGCTTTGGAAGAATGAGAACAGGTGTGAAAATAAGAGTAAAGAAATTGACAGTGCATAAGCCATTCAGATGGCTATGTTCTCTAAAAGATAATGAACACAGAGAGCTTGATTCAGATTCACACTACAGTTCTTTCATACCTCAAAGATAAAGTGCAGGAGATGATAGTCTACTTTAGCGCCCATTTTGGAGAAGAATGGTATGAAACAGCTTTAATATTAATGAGAATTAGCTCGGTACTTTTCAAAGTAGGATGTGAATGTATCCACCTTTTTATTATGATGATATATCAATGAAAATACATTCTGTACAAATAACAGCAAAACACATCTGAAAATAGAGACAGTGTGATTAATCCATATCTTTTTAAAATAAATATGTACAATATTTACATTTTGGACAGTTCCAGAAATGAACATGTCCAGATTATGTACCGCTACCTAAACCAATTCTTTATTATTATAGAAGATGCATTTGCTGTACAAATATTTATAAATACATATGTATAAACTTTTTCAGTGAAATGTCTGTGGATTCATTGAAAAGAAAAGCATGAGATATTATTAAACAGTCTAGAGCATCATACATCAGACAGAAGTAGCTTTTTGGTGTTGAGAAGATTTTTTTCTTCTGCTTCTGTGCATCACACCTGCAAATCTGATTGTCTTTTCTGAAAATCTGCAGAAAAGCAGCAGGACTGAATCAGTTTGACTCAGTGATTGTTACTGACTGCACCATGTCAGACAGGGTTTCTGGGTCTATTTCTTCTTTACCATTATCTGAATTTTCTGATGAGATATAACAGCCAGAATCTCTTGGGCAGTCATTTAACTGTGATTTGTCAAAGCCATGGTGAGGGCTTAAGCTCAGCATCTCCTGACCACCCTCACTTTTCTGCTGTTGTTCAACTAGAAAGAACAGGAAAAGCGAGAAAAAAATTGTCAAAATAAGTATCCTGGACAAGACTTTGAGATAGAAACATGACTGATGATGAAGATCTGTAGAAACAGAATTGGTACTATACACATGACTAGATCGGTATCTTTTGTCTATCAGAAACAGAAACCTCAGCATCAAAGAACTAAAAATATGATTACATGAGTATAACAACATCTAAGCTAATGTTGAGGTTGGCTTTGATCCTGCAGTATGTTGCTTAGAGATGAATGCCAGAGACTTTGGCCTCATCCTTTAGACTGAGGTCCTTTAGGCTGATGGAAACTTCCTAAGCTTAGCTCGATATCCAAAAGGTTATTTTCCAAAACACAAAGCCCTCAGAAAAAGCTAAGATGCCTAACTCCTGCTGTATGGTTTTTGAACACTGTTCCAAAACTAAATAGAAGCAAATTGTCTTGCAAATAGCTTGTCCTTGTTCAGCTGCTGTACGACTAATCTATTCAAACTCAAAAATCTGCAACTCAGGGAGAGTATCGACAGACCTCTCAAAAAAAGCTCAACAAGGTGGTGCCTCACAGGCAGGCTATACCTGTATATCATGAATCTAATATATCTTGTGGTTAAAGTTTGTGCTCCTGTTTGCTGGCTGTGAAATACATGAGGTTTACTCACAGTAAATGTCTTCAGAAAACAAGTTATAAAATATAAAATCTTTCACTTCCATACTTTTCTTTTTCCTTATCTCCCTTCTGTAACTGTATTTTTGCTTCAAACTGTGGCTTGCTTGCCAAACAAAGTATAAGAAACAGATCTCACAAGAAACAGAGCGTTTTACCCCAGATTTTAGCTGTTCAGAAAAATGGTACCTTTTTGCTTTTGCGAAGAAATTTCCCTTATTTCACTTTAATTGTTACTCCATGGTTAAATAGTTAGCTTCGAATCTTTAGTCAGATTTAAGCTGTCTCAATTCAAGTACAGGCAGAATGGAAGTCCTAGTACATGAAGGATTTTATCCTTCATCAAAATCTTAATCTAGTTTAGCTCCAGGGTAGAGTGTCAGAATTATAAAATTTCCATACTGACATTTGTTTCAGCTGTTGGAAATTATAAGCTTTGGCAACATGGGAAAGATTTACACTTTGGATTTTTTTTTTAAATCTTGTGTTATATTGTATAACAAGAATAAATTAGAAAAGAAAAATCGAAATGTTTCACTCTGAAAATATTGAAATGGAACAGCAGGAAAGTCAGGACCTGTCTTCATTGTGCGAGATTTCAGTGAACTTGTTTCACAAAGCATTTTGATATATTGAGAAATATTTCTAGGTCCTGATGGAAGTCTTGTAGATTTGTTTGGACTAATTAATTCTGTTTAACATTTTCTAACTTTCAGTTGCCTAATTAAGTTAATAAACTAATCTGATTTTGGAGAAAAGAATCCAATGTCTCAACTTAGTCATTTTTGCATGAATAGGTTATAAGCATAACCTTATGTATTGGGGAAAAAAAAAAATCCTATTACTTTAAATACTTTCCAAAGAATAGAAGTCCCACCTTGTTCCCAAATAAATTAATGGTTAATTGCACTTGTGTGAAAGAGTACAACTTTCATCAGATTTAATTGATATCTGTAACTGTTTGATCGCCTTCTCACCTTACAGAACATAGTTTGTCATGTCAAATGTTATCTTTCTTTGCAGGGAAAATATTTGATCACGTAGGGTCCAATTGATTTCTGATTTAAGTCAGGAAGGAATTACAAAAGGCATTACACCAGTGAAGGTATTACTGCTGCTATTAGTAGCAACAGAAGTACTTTAGCACAAATAACAGCAGATGCTCCAGTAAAGCCTTGTCTAAATTGTGTCATTAGCTCCTTGCACCCATCCCACAGGCACCAAGATGACCCAGGTCTTGGTTGCTGTGGGCTGACAGAGCTCAGCCCGTGGCTGGGCGAAGTCCTCCTGCGCGGTTGCAGGCAGGGTTCCCCTGCCCTCCTCTGTAATCCCCTCATCAGCCTAATGCTGCTTGCTGGTGCTTATATCAGCTTCTGTAGCATCATCTGCTGCCCTGGGAAGCAGTGACCTAAAAAGTGTTAATCCTGTTTACATTTTCAAGGTCAAAGAGGAACCTCCATCCACTTTGTTTGTTTTACGATGGAAAGAAGACCAAGTGGATTAAAAAGAAAATGCAGTTTCAGTCAGTGTATTAGTGCCTTGCAACTAGTTGTGATAATCTGAGTAGTTCCTATGTGAAAAAACAGATCCTAAATTCTTTTGCAGCAATGTCTTTGCCTTGTGTGTTTCAGGGAAAAAGACACAGGCAAGCCTGGAACTGAGATTTTTTTTAAATCTGAATTTAGGTCAGTTAGGAGAATAAGATATTTCTATTTAGAAAACATACAGATATGTAAAAATTCTGTCTCTTCCCCTAACACTAGAAGAATTTTTTTACAAGAAAAACTGAAAACCAAAAATGTTCAGGTGTTCGAGACAGTAAAAATATTTTCTATTTTTTATTCTGAGCAGATAAAGTTGAAGAACATCCCCCCACCCCATTTAAGAAGAAAAGACTGAAAGCAAACTTTGGTGCTTTTTTTTCCCCTCTCTTTAAAGCAGCCTTAAATATTATGCAGTAACTACTAAACCACTTGAACAGGATACTGAGTACTATAAATATATGTAGCATTCAATTTTAGATGTTGCTTCACAAGAAAAGATGTTTTTCTTTTTCTTTTCTGCTTTTGGCTCTTACATTCAGTTCTACTTAATTCCTTCCTCTAACACATACATGTTCAAGTTCCACATTAGTAAAGGTAAGTTTGCTGTCTTAATCTTTTGGACATCAGAAGAAAGATACAATGCTCAGGGAACAGGAATTGATAAAATTAAACTGCCGTTAGATGTTGCAGAATCATCAGAAATAGCTATCTTATCAACAAATGGAAGTTCTATCATTTTTTCTACAGTAAAGCAGTTTCATATAAGATAAATAGCTTTCAGTCACTGTTGTCTATGATATGGCCAGAAAAGTCCAAGATATGCATCATTTTGACACATATATTCTAATACTACTTTAAACGGTAGGATTATATTCAGGCTTCTGAAAAAAATGTGAGGCTAAAGGCCTTAGTAATAGATGTGTGATGCATACTTATCTTCCTCGCCGTTTAGATCTTTGAAATGAATATTTGTTACTCAATGACATCGATGTGCATGACACATGCAGGAATAGATCTCTTTTTTCCTTCACCAACTTTTTTTCCCTTTTTAATGAGTTTAAAGTCCTGATTAGGAAAGCACTTTAAGCTTAGGTTTAAGGCAATTCAGCTCAAGAATGTACAGAGGTCACACTGACTCCTGTGCGGTTATGTCAGTTTAAACCAGAGGAGTGGCAGGAGGCTTGGATTTTGTCTTGGAAGAAAAGAAGGTCACCCAGCAACAAGCTGTACTTCATAAGTGTGCCCTCTGAGAGTCTGCCTTCAAGAGTTTTGCCCAGGAGGAGAACTGGGCTAGGAGCACAATGCTTTAGGCTGAGTCACTTGCATGCCTTCCTGTGGTGACGTACTGAGCAGCACCATACAATAACTAAATAGAACAAAGTGTGTCTTCAAGGCTGATGTTAGACCTCCTAGGTACGTAGACGGCCATGTATCAACCTGTAGTGCCAGCACCAGTCAGACCACCTAAGTGTTAAAATGAAATTAAAACTCACAAAGCATCAAACTCAGGAAGGATCATTTTGAAGCAGTAAATGGTGCTACTTCTTGAAAAAGAAGCAGAGAAACCTGAAGTGGTTCTGTACACGCATGCAATACTTCGGGGACTCAAAGGAATAAATCTTTTGTGGATGTTTACACACATGCAACTTAAAAAACTGAACTCACTGAAGTCAGTGGCATAGCTTTTCTGGGAGGGATACTGAAGTGATGTGAGAGGAGAGTCCATGGTGAAAACAGAAATGAGAAGCTTCTTTTTTCTCTAAAATCTGGAAGCAAACAGATAAGCCTGAAAAAAGGTGAAAAATACTAATACTCTTGCAAGGATGACCTTCCTTGGGAAATCTGGAAATATTATGTCCAGGTCAATGACTTGTACCACAATACAGAAGGGGAGATTGTCTTTGAGCACTATTTGACTTTGACATGATATTGTGTAATCCCAGGTACTTAAAGGGACTGCCCAGTGTAAAATGATACTCTTGATGCTAGGTCCTGATGTAAGGAATGCAACTGAGAACTGAAATTCATGTCCTCAGCTATCTACTATCTTGCTGTCCAAGTACAATAAATAAGGAACAAACCTTATCTGGTACTAACAGTGAGATTTAGAGTATGATCTGGCACTTATACATGAAAAGTAAGCTAAGGAAGTGCATTTGGGGAGATAAGCATAAAATATTATCCCCCAAATTGCATATATGCACCTTTTTTATTTTTTCTATAAAATTAACTGTATGCACATATCCAGTGAAGTCTCTAATTCTTCTGTAACTCAGAATTGCTTCAGTGTAATGTAACTTACTGGACTTCAGGAATGAAACTCTTGACTTACATCATCTAAGTGAGAAGAGAATCAAGGCTATTTTGCACACATAAAAATGTATGTCCTGGGAAGCAGTCAAGAAAAAAGTTCTAAACTTCTTTTATTACTTTATTCATTAACCATCCAGCAACTTCTTCACTTTAAAAATAGCATCCTACAAAAGCACAGACATCCATCTCCTGTCTAGAAGCCATCTGGGAGAAGAATGGAAAGCTATTAAGAAATACTTTATGAAAAAGAGCTTTTTTTTCCTCCCTAGCCATGAATTCATGGGAACCAATCATTTTGTCCCAAATATATAGGTCTGATCAACTTATAGAAAATCTGAAAAGAGACCTGGGAAGGGGGAAGGTCGTGAGGAGCTTACAAGGCCCTGCAGTTCTAGGATAGCCTTGCTATGTGAAGTACTTGAAGATGGTGAATTTGGGCCTGGACTCCCAGGAAAGGTAGAATGAAGGTAGCACAGTACCAGGAAACAAAATCTGCTTAAAAAAAACCTATGTGGCAGCACTTGCTAAATAAAACTTACTTTTTAATTCCTGATATAAGATGGATAAAGTTTTTCCTTTCAAATTCATTCAGGTCTAAATCAAATGTAAGATGAAACAATTCTCACTGTCAGAAATCCTACCTTCTGGATGGCTTTAAGAAGCATATAATGTGGAAACTATTGCTGCAGGTCTTCTGGTTAGAAAACTCAGTAACTATTTATTCTGCAACATGAATTATATAGTCACAAGTATGCGGCATGAAGAAATCACTTAGTATAACATACAATAAATGTCAAGAAAAAGCCAAGGAGAGAAAAAGAAATTAAAACCCTCGTAAAAACATCTGGACATTTCACAATATCAGATATCACATTAAAGAAATATTAAATCTTTTTTTACTACATTTATAGTAAATCTAGTAAAATGAGGCTATATTCCAGCATGCTTGGCTGTTCTGAATAATAGCAGAGTCAGTCACAAAAACTCAGAAACCCTTGCATTTCAACTCTGGACCATACCTGAGACTCCATCCATTAATCAAACATGTGCTTCGTGGAAGCACGAATGTAATCCAAAGACATGGAAGTCTTCCAAGCTCTGTGAGAAAGATGGACTTAGAACACTATATAGGGTCTGTGGCCTTAGTATATTTTTTCACAAAGCTTATAAAAAGAGTGAACTTTCACCTGGAAAAATGCTGAACTTATATCTAGAATACTCTTGGCCATTAAACAGATTACCTTGTAGCTGTGGGTAATTATGCTGCTCACTTCTAAGCAATGCAGAAAATCAATTTTAATTAAAAAATCATTTATGCTGGACTGAATGAGGCCCACTTAGGGAAAAAAAAATGACCTAGGAAAGTTCAGTTCAGATGCAGAATTCACTTTCACAATAACATCCAGCTCTTTCAACCTAATTTTCCAATTGGATTGACAGAAGGACAAAGGAGGTCAAATGATTCGGACGAAGTCAGACTTATGCTGAGCTTATCCCCAAGATCATCTTGACTCCCCGTCTTTTGTTGTAATGACTTAACAGATAGCTTCTATCAATCTTTAGTCTTTAGTATCTTCCTTTTTAGAGCATGTTGTTAAATTCTGTTCTGTCCCTACCAGTCATGTGACAAATGCTGTGAACCTTTGGCAACCAGACAAGGCAAGGATTTGATTCAGTCCTGATTCAAGACAGTGTTGCAAACCAGTAAAGTACTTATACATGGCTTACCTTAAAATATACATGAGTCTTATGAAACTCAACTAGACTTAAATGAATGCTTATAGCTTGCATAGTATATAAAGATGTCTTGGTTCTGGTCCCTGTGAGTATTCATAAATTATGGGAATATTATTTTATTGAATTTGAATATTAGATAAATTGGCTATACCTATCTAAAGTGGATGCGAAGCAAATACTCCATCTCTTAATCTAAGACTACAGTGTCATCACTGATTTTGAAGCATGGGCCACTTTGTAAGATTTAATGTTATTTCCAGAACCAGTACAAGAATTTAAACTATTAGACTACCATACAGATAACATCAGGGACACTGTTTTGCCTGGAGAAGTGACTTAATCCCATGCTGCCAATTAGGAAGAACCCTATTTGGATAATTAAGGTAAATTTACTGATTTTCAGTGTATGGGACATGTAAGGACTTTGTTAGGTTTGGTCCTTGCACAGATGTATGTAGAATATTAAGCATTAAGACACCTTCAGAAAAAGAAAAACTTAGTGTCATCTTCTAAAAAGGTTAGGTGTCCAAGGCTGCTTGCTATGCTTTTTGCTACACAAGGAATATAAATAGCAAACCATACCCTCGCTACTCCAGAATAATGTGACATTTGTGTGGTCTGTTAAAAACCATTATTTTTTGGTTTTGTTTTTCACACTGATGCAAAACTGCAAGATTACAATCTAGCATTTTTCATTAATTTTTTTTTTGCCTTAAATATTGATATAGAAAAAATATACAATGAACGGTGCAAAAAGTGCAGCACGGCTAGTTACCAAGAGGTATACACAAATATACGTATACTCAGTTTAAGGGCAGACGAGGGAAATGAACATATTTTCAAATGATTTCCAGCTAGATCCCTGCAATACAATTCTTGGAAAATGTAACCCTTTTTTCCTGGATTCACTCTTTCGATCACTAGTTCTACATAGACAGCTCTTCAAGACTCCTTTGCTAGCCTGTCATCTCACAAAGCTGTAGACCAGAAAGAACTACTGAACCTGGTGGGCGAAGAAAACCCTTTTAATGCCTCTGCAATGTGTTTGCAAGAACCTTACCTTTCCCTGGAAGCTGACTAAGAACAGGAGAGACTGAATGTACAAATGGGGTCCTGAAAAAGCCCAAACACACGGTAAAAGATAAGGTCAGCAAAGACACAAAGAGGGAAATTAGAGAACATCTACAGGGAAAGATGAAGGGATAAGGTAGCCAAAGACATGCTTAGAAGCCCAGAGATATTTTTGTACTGAAGAACATAGGGTATATATGTGCATGCAGGTATGTGCATACAAATGTACATGTGCTGGAGTGAGAACTGGAAAGCTACCTACCTACTGAGGAGATAAAAAGTGGACACCTGACAAGAACTGATATAAAAATATCCCAGGAAGACATTGCTTTTCCAGGTCTCCTTTTCTTTCTTTCAGATGCTTCTCAACTGCAAGTGCACATTTGATGAAATGAATACTTAGCATAGGGATGAGTATGCACAAGTATTAATGAAGAGGAAAACATCTGTTTTGGCTAAGTAGATGCTTAGCTGTAGTTTCTACGAATTTGATATAAATTATTTAAAATTAGAAATGAGGCTGGAAATATCATTAAAATATCATGAGAACAGTATTTTCTGTTCTGTATCCTAGCTTTTCCACTCCCAGTGAAAGGAACAAGTGAAGAAAATTTAATGGTGACCAATACACATACATATACATGCGCTGTATGATCAGCTTTCAGAAGCTCACCAGAAACTTTAGCCAGATTCATTCTGAGAAAAGAGTGCAAACCAGCTATTAGTATATATATCTTTTTTTTTTTTTACAGAACCTTCCTACAAAAGAAACTGATTTGGATAAGGATTTAAGTGTGGAATAAAGTGAGGGGAGGAAAAACTGTGTTCTTCTGCAGAATGTTGTTTAAAAAAATTTCAAGAAAATTCTTTACTGTAGCTATTTGAAATAAGCTCTATTTTGGTTAAGATACTAGCACAGAGTTTAGGAGGTTTATTTTCTGCTCTTGCAAAGACCTTGTGACTTTTAGGAAGTCACTTAGCCTGTCTGGGGGTTGGGTCCCCCACCATAAATAGAGTTGTTCTTAAGCAATAGTTGTAGGACCTATAAATAAGAAATTTTAAATCACTCATGTGTTACAAGTATAGTAATCATATACATATCTAGAAGAGATGTATGGTTTGCTATCTGAACAAATAAGAAACCCATCTGACTCCATGTTTCATATTTAAAAGAAAAATAATTTAACAGATCAGTGTGAGAATCGCTATTTCTTTAAATGTTTCTTCAGTTAAAACTTGCACATGACTCAAAAAAGCTTAAACGCTTACTGTCATAGTCTTGTAGATTTTCAATTGCTGATAACAATCTTGCCCTGTCTTCTGGGTTTGAAATATTTAACTCGATCAGGTGGCTCTCCTGTAGATCCTTTAAGTCCTCTAGAGTTTCATAGCCATTTAGCAAGAGGGTTGAGGCATATTCCTACAAAGTGAAACAAGCAAATCCTTTCATGTAAACAAGCACTATATTTAGTAGAGGAATAGGCACAATTTCTCTTTTACTTTTTTTGTCAGGTTGAAATGGGCTCCATTCTCCAGTTTGATTGGCCTGCATTTGGCAAGAGAGGACAGAGGCAGAGATGCCTGGGGGTCCTCCTGGCCATTCCAGCATCTCTGCCCGAGTTGTCTGTTAACAGAGTCCAGCAGCAAATTGGACCAAGACAGAGCTCTGCCAGAAATGATTTAATTTGCCGAGCATCTCGAATTTTGTGGGTCACCCCATGAGTGCCTCCCATGCTGGGTCCAGGAGGGCCTCTGAGGTAGGGTGTGCTCTGCCTTTGCACAGAAGCAGCCCTTCAATATAAGCAAGGGTGAGAAGCTGAGGGAGCCCTCAGCCATGCTGTGTCACACATGATCCCCCTTGAGCTGTGTGTCGACACAGTCTGAAACTCTGGGCATACTCCAGGGAAAGGAGTGTTTGCATCAGCACCAAAGCAATAACCATTATTAAAAGTGTTACCTGTAAATCATGACCTAATTATGCTTTGACACTTAGTGGAGAACTAGGGTTGCAGAGAGGGAGAGGCGCAACATGAGCATAGTGCAAAAAGACTATTGCTCCCTAAAGATCACGAGAAATTAGAAACCCAAATTCTAAATGTTGGCACTGGATTCTGACTGCAGTCCTGTCCCTGAGGTGTCCACAGTCACACACCTCCTACACTTAGGCATACAATTGCAGTCAGGTTACGGAGACTTGACAAGTCACCACTGTGCCTCTTTTCATGGAGCCTCTTAGCCTAACCAAATGATGTGGTAAAATGCAGTTCTGTAAGCCACTCACATCAGATAAAAGACAGACCTGAAGCTGCTTTGCTTTGCTGACATCAAAACTGCTGAAACCTGCCTTTCTACTTCTGCCTGTTAATGACATTCAAACCTGAGTGCACAGAAATGAAATGTTTCAAATACAGCTGGGAAACGCATTCACTGACCTGCAGGTGGACACAATCCAGGAGGTCTTGCAGTGTTTTGGGCTTGGTCCTTTTGCTTCCTCTGTGCAGCTTTACCTTTCTGGGTGCAGCTTCCTCTTCCAAGATAATATCCACATAAATGAACTTGAAGTTTCCTACTTTGTTGTTCAGCATGCCTGTCCATATGCCCATGGGGGTTTTACAGATGATATCTATAATGTCTCCTTTCTAGAAAAAATAAAAAAAAGCACGCCACTGCTTTCACATCTGGTTTGTTACATGTAGCTTTTCCTTTATGGACCAAAACCAGCACAGACAGCACAGGATCTTAACTAGTCAGTGTAAAGTAACTTTTTAAAATTACCTAGATTTAACTCTTTTGCTTTTATGAAATCCCAGCAAAATAATTACAGAAAATTGAGTTAGTCCTAACTCCAAACCTTTGCGAAGGAGACGTGAGCATAAGCAGCCCCGCTCACCATTTTTGTGCTCTGCTTGGTCCCTGAAAAGGCATAGGGTTGCATCAGCAATCAACTTTTGCCATGGATAGTGGGCATAGCTTTGGCAAAAAGCAAGGGAACACTGTGAGGTTATTTTCCAAATAAGTGCCAAACCATTTACACAGTAATCTTATTGTCCAGCATCTCAAGGGTCTTCAAAACTGATAACTGAGCTATGTGAAAGGTAGACTCTTACCCATTTGACAGTAAAAAACACTGGGTACATTTCTCAAAGGCAATAAAGAACATTTAACTCCTTTAATATCTTCCTGTCTGTCCTTCCCAAAGGACTGAGAAATTTTCCCACTACTATTAACACAACTGACTGAGAAAATAGTGGAAGGTGCCTTGGCAGACAGATCGAAAGGCTTCAGCTATCCACACTTGTGCATTCACTCACAAATGTGAGTGCAAAAAAAAGAGTGACAACACAGCTACTTCGAGAGGGCTTTCTGGTAAAGGTGTTCACAGCCATGCTGTGGGAACCAAGGTCTGGGCTCAGCACAACAGTCACTCTGAGTAATTCTCATAGTAGAAAGGCTCCCTTGTATGTCACACCCCCTACACAACTTGCTCCCATGACCTCAGAATTGAGTCCTCTCTTCTGGGCAGGTACCACGGAACTTATAAAAATTATGAAAGTCTTTAAAGTTATCCAACAAATCCCCAGGTACATACTTCTTTGGCATTCTGTGGCAAAGTTAAAAATCCAACTCAGTTTGTTAAAATCTCTGTGAACAACTCCAAGACTTTCAAATCTTTTCTGATCTGGTCAAGAAACTGCAAGTAAAGTGGTCACACTGGTTTCGATACAAACACAATTAAGAAATTGATTGTGTTCCAGTGACCTGGTTTTGTTAGAATATGGAGCTCAGAGCTATGAGGATGTTTAAAATGGAAACTAAACAAACATTTGTTTAAAGCTCTATAAGCACACATATTACTCTGCACACTCATGGAGGCTCAGGAACTTCAGATGTGGATGCAGATCAGGATTAGGCAGTGGCTCTAAGCCAAGCTGAAGATGCACTTTGAATTCAGATTCAGGGTACAGAAATTTTGTGAGATAAATTTAGGGGATTTCAACCCTAAGTATTAGTTCATAATTCTAAAATACACCACCCCAGTGACTAAAAACAAAACCTGTGTGAGCCACCAGACATTTTCTGTTTTGTGACCAGTTAAGCTGTTTTGAAAGAAATGCTCTAGGTGTGGGTGGAAGTGGAGGGCAAGTGGTGAAGACTGCAAGTACTGGCCGAGCAATGGCTGTAATGTAGGCCAGAGAGGAGGAGAGGGAGACTGCAGTGAGATACAGATCAGGATTTTGACAAAAAGAAAACACTGTGAAGAAGAGGAGAAGATGCTGAAGTGTGAATATAATCTGGATATAAAGTTGTTTACAAAGACGGAAAAGAAAGAAGTCCAGATTACAGAAATGAGTAGTCTGAATGATGATGATGTTGAATGTATTTGTGAATGGAAGAAGAAAAGGGCTGGGCTTTTTTTAGTAATGTTCAACTGGGCCCATGTCTGGAGCTCCTTTTTCTCACTCACATAGCCTGGACGCCCCTGCCATGTTGTCAGGGCCAAAGAAAATTCATAGTTCAAAGGTACATTTAAAGAAAACTTAATGGAAAGGCGAACTCTTTTCATTAAAGACAATGGGCACCACTGAGCTTTTGGTATATCATTATTGTGACTGAAAAAGCTGGGGAGGCAACATCACATCCCATGAGACTCAAGTTTTTCTTAACTCCAGACCTAGTATGGGGGAAGCAATATGTATTTTAGTCTGAGGAAAGCTGTGGTATCCAGGTAGATACCACAGTAAGATACCTACCTGCAGTCTATGCCTTAAAAAGCCCTTACTGGCAGTTGGCTTTGCAGGATTGTCTGAACTAAGTCCTTATAGAACCATTGCAAAACCAGATTGGTCTTGCTCTTAGAGTGTTACACGTGCTTAATGGTTAAAAAAGCATTAGTAAACATATTCTTCACATGTAAACAAAGTCCCCTTGGTATACTTAGTGGAAAAGAAGAAATTCTGGTGGTTGTCCTACCCTGATTTTTAGAGAGTCGGTGTCATAAGGACTTGGTGTGAAGTCTGTGTGAACTTTGGCTCGACCGCAGAAGGGCCCACTGTAAGGGACTTCGTCATCAAACCGGAGGCTGTCCCTGTTGCTCGTTCCATCTGAGCAGCTGGTCACCCCACCTTAAAGAGAGTTAAGTTGAGAGATCTCCTGCACCAAATGACCAGACATGCAATTCTGCACAGTAGCCAAGAGGAAAGTGTTCAAAAGCACAGAATTAGAAAAAGAGTGTACTCTGTGATTTTGACACATTCCAGGAAAAATACATTCAATAAAAGGCATACTACAAGAGACTGAAGAAAATAAGTGGGACACCTTTCATTAACATCTTCTCTACAATAATCTTTTTCTGCTGATGATACTAATAGACTACACATTTTACTTACAGACTTTTTGAAATATTACCTCTGCAGATTAGTAAAATGTACTCTAAAAGTGCAATTTAGGGAATGAATTCTGCTGAACTTCTCCTGTTTATTCAGAGAAATGAAAACAAGTACTGTAGAAGTTATTTTATTTCATTACAGAACTAGCTGAAACATCAAAGGAACCTGCATTGCAGAGGGAAATTTTAATCTTATCAACATTTCTGCCTGTCATTTTATCCAAGTCGAGCAATAAAATATCGGCAGAGTAATTCAAGCAAATTTGAGCAAGCTCTGCAATATCCCATCCAAATATGTTTTTAGATAAGAGCAGCAGTGTGTTGGAAGTAAACTCCCATATACAATTTTCACAAATCATATCATAGAAAATGATCATAAAAATGGTTTTGTTTGAGGTGATTGCTAAAGTGCACAGCTCCATCTCAGGGCCAGATTAACTACTTAGTGCAAATGGTCTGGACTGCAGCTCAAGTCCCCACTTAAGGCTCACATGGTACCTGCAGTGATGGCACAGCAACGTCATCATGGACAGCTGTGGCCTGCTGCCCAGCAGATGTCCACAGCAGAGCAGCAGATAGAGAGGTGGAGGCAAACTCCACTTATCATTAGAGATTCATCTGCCCTCTGACTGAGACTACCCTGTTGAGGGAGGATTTTCAGTGGGTTTGCGGAGAAGCAGACTGTGTCTCTCTGCATCATGACCTGAAGCCACCAGGTCAGGCCCCCGTCACCCATTATCTCAGAGAGACCTTTTCCTTTGTCTGCCTCACATCTGCAGAGCGAAGGATGAACTCACAGCCACTGCCCCCAGAGAGGATGCTTGTGTGGCTGCACCCAGTGATTGCAGCCCTATAGGTGCCAGCACCATAGCAGTGGTAACCCAAAAAAACCATTTATGGCATATGTACCAGCAAAATCTCCTATAATCCATGTTATTTTTTTACTGCAGTTAATATTTCCCCTCTTAACACTCAGCTGATTTCTGGAGGGAGGTATATCTACCATAGCTGCCACCCATTTAATCAAATTACACTTTTGTCTGCCAGACTGAAGAGCTCTCTACTATCACATTTTTGACCACCAGCTCTGATACCTCAGACTTAAACAATAACAATATTGATCCAGTGACTGAATAAGAAGTATGGATATCTTGTACTTACTAGATGAGCTCTGGCCACTGTTCAGACTATAGAGACTTTCCATAGAGTCACTGGCTTTTAGGGAGACCTTCTCAGTGTGTATTCCACCACCAGGGTCACTCTCATCTTTTCCTTCTTCATTCTTTAACAGAAAAATCAGATGTTAACTACCAGGAGATGTATTTTAAACAAACAGTTGTTTTTTTCTTGTAAATCATCATTGGAGATGAACTTGTCATTACACTTTATTAAGAACCACTCTATAAGAGAAAGCGTTTTAGAAGTTGATGCCTGGTGCTAAGGATGACCAGCACCACCCCTAGCACCTTATGATCTTGGAGAAATCCCCTGTCTCCTCTCTGTCCCACTTACTTCATTCCACTCCTGCTCAAGCAGCTAAACTGATTCTCCATGTCAGAAAACTGCAGTATACCACAGCAGTGACAAAGGCTTGTAATGGGAAATTCTCGGGTACCCAGGTAAGCTGTTTTTTCTGATTGTCTCAGAGGAGGAAGTATAAGTTTAATTCTGAAAGCACATGGTGAAGTGCTAGCTGATGCAGCTGTGTTTTGCATTGAACTTCTGAAAATCATGGGTGCTTGGTGGCAGGCTGGCACCCAATCCAGGGTGTTCTGGAGACAGCTTGTACACACGTACGACATTGGTGTGTTCTAGCACCATGCTCACCACATTGCCTGACCTACACATTGGCCTCAAAATCCAGTGCATTTCAGAATTAACAGAAGTGTGTTTCTCTCACAAAATCTAATGGTGTATGAAATTGGCCCCCTGAGTTTATAACATTAAATCACACCTCAGGAATCACAGCCTATTCAAAACAATAAGATCCATATTTCAATCACAGGTAAGCTAGGGGCGATGTAACAACTAAATGAAATAATGATGACCTTTCAAAGGAAGGAATTTCTTCAGCAGATTTCTTTACATTGTCAATGTGCGTGATATTCTGATGCACCTGAAACATCCTGCAGTACTTAGGATGTTACGTTATATTTGGGGAAATATTAATTATTCATCCATTGGCTGATGAAGTCAAGCAAAGATGACAGTGCATGTAAGAAGTAGAGACCCTTAGAGGTACTTATAAGGTATAGCATTGAAATGGAAGACTATATTGGTTTTCAACAAGGACAGTGCTTATTACACCAGTCAGCAGCATAACCCATAGATTAATCAGTGGGCCAGTATTGATTGTCATCATCTCCTGCAAGAATGAAGATTATGCTACATGTGTGTCCAATCAGATGATTCATTGAATTTCTGTCATGTGAATCGTTGCTGTAAATGTGCAGAAGGTAAGTGTTGAAATTCTGATTTTTCTTTCTTATAATATAAAAATCATGGATTGCAACCTCTCAGATTTTAGTAAAAAATGCAAACTAAACTAATGAAATAGGAATCTTTGTCTTTGACCTCCAAAAACTGTCTCAAGACATCCTGTGAAACTCTATTTTCTACTTGTGAAGTTTCTTACTTATTTTCCCTACTTATTTGATATTGACACGTGTGAGATAGGATGCAGACTAGCTAGATTTTTTTAGAATGATTAAGTATGACAAGTCCTTTTTCCTTTTTTTTTTTAAATTTGGAACTCACTGACACAACCTTGAGAAAACAGGGTTTGAAGTGTGTGAAACATTATATGTTTTTTTATGTTTAATAAAGATAGGTTCACTAAGATTAAAGCAGATAAGGCATATGACTTGTCATGCTCTAGGATGCTGGCTGACCTCTACAAAATGGACTTTGGAAATAATTCTTGTACTGAAAGAAAAATTCTTCTTATTAAGCATTTTGTACAAGTTGAGTATCAGACTGCTGATGGGGTTCATCCAATACTCCCTTGGGTCCACATTAGGAGATTTTTTTGTGGTGCTTATACAAATGCTCCTTGATGACAAAGCAAAATTCAATGATGTAAAATGCCTATCTTGGGCTCTTGCTATGTGATGCTTTAATTGTATATGTGCATGTGTGAGTAAATTAACATGCACATGAAAGAAAGGGTACATATTGAAAGCTGTTCTAATTCAGTATGTGTTACCATGTTTTTATGGATTGTCGTAACTGATGACAATTGCACCATGAACAGGAAAAATGAACTTAACATTTTTACTTCACATTTATTGTTATCAAACACGAGATTCTTAAGCGATATTTACCATCTCCTCAGAGAGTGCCTTGATGTACTTTTTACCCATCTTTTTCTTCATAGTAAGGGAAATGGCTCTCATCTTCTTACCCAAACTTCCTCCATTATTTGCTGCTTTAGTTTGTACTGCATCTCCAATGTCACTTATAGTCTCCAACTCACATATCTGATTTGAAATAAAAGAGTAAGCAACAACTCACCATGAAAATTAAATTCAGTGTAGTGGAATAGGAATTACAGAAAAATATTAAGGACACCAATGCATTTAGGATGACAAAAGTAAATCATAGCCATTTTCCTGGGGAATTGTGTACCTAAACAGGTTTGCAGCACACCACCGTACATATGAATAACAGAAAGAAAATATATTTTATGCTAGAAAATGTTGTTTCCCATTGTTTATTGTCCGTAATCCAAACAAGAATTGAGGGGATTTATGCAGGTTCTTGAAGACAAAAATGACACATCTGTGGGTTGCATACACTTTCCAGTTACTTTGGGCATGCACCAACCAGAAGTGCACTTCAGTCTTTTTGAAAAATTGTTTCTAATCTTCCCATCAAAGTACCAAAGTTTAGGTGTGATTCTCTTGTTCATTTTGGCAAGGGCTCAGTCACCCAGACAGATGTAAGTACACAAGCAAAGTTCTCACTAGTGTAAAATTTACACAATAGTTTCCAAATGTTTTTTCATAACTATCGTGGGAAAGTGAACTGAAGAAAGTAAAACTCTGTGTTATACAGACCTCAGCTGCATCATCTGCCTTTGATATCGAGTGATGCCTGAAACGGTCAAAGCTTCCAAAGCTGCTTGTGCGCTGTAAAAAAAGAGAAGACAAACCTTGACTCACTGATGATGTTTTGGTCTGTTATTAAGACTTAAATACAACTGTCAAGTCACCTGTTTATGTTAAAAATTCCTCCCAGATCAGTGGACTGTGAACTGCTACATCCAGCTAGAAACAAACTAGGAGGTCACTATAGGGGAAAAAAATTTTGACTTTACAGCCAGAAGCAGAAAAATGAGTAAGAGAACCAATACTGCTTCAAATACTAACTAGATCATGGATATGACTGAGTTCTTCTACATCAATTTCATATTAATTATACACAGGTATCTATGAGTTACTTCTAGGTAAGATTGCTGTCTGTCAGCTTAGAAAAAAAGCTGTTTCCATAAATATTATATGAGCTATAGAGTCGGTTATGGTGGTGTCAACTATGGCAATTTATACAGTTCACTTTTGCAGCTGGGGAGACTGTTTACAGTTCTTTGCCAACAGGAACCAGCAAGGACGGCCGAGGATTATGAATACATTTTTTCCCAAATGCGTGTGTTGCGGAGGGAGTAAGTAACAGAATAATCAGGCAGACTCTGTGTTTTCTTCCCAATCCCCCAATTTGAAAATCTGATTTTTAAACATACATGGGTACAATTTTTCCCTGTGCCACAACACATAAGAAAGGCTGCATCACCTCAGCTGTGCATTAAGAGACCGTGAATGGCTTGCTTTTACTTCCTTCTAATTTTCACCCTTTCTGTGTGTGGATAATTGACGTGGTAAGGAGGGAAGTGGCACAGCGGGTTTTTGCAAGAGAGGTCACACAGAAATACCTGCCAGACGTGCCCAGGCAAAACTGTCTGACACTGCACTGCACATGGTGGCAAACTGCATCAAATTGGCACTGATGACAAGTCAGAAGCCCCTTTAAGTGTGGCCCTAATAACAGCCAGAATTTGGACGTTTCTCAACTCTACAGTGTATTTAAGAGCTTGTTTTTATATCTTCACCAATACTCAAAGCTAAATCCAGAAAGACTCCTTTTTTTTAAGTTCTTCACTCTTCCATAGTAAATGAAAGTCTTTTAATGCAGTATCAGATTTCTTGAAGCAGGGTTTACTGTTATATACTATGCAACATCGTCTTAGTATATTTCTGAGTATTCAAAATCCCCTCTGGAGAGAAAAGACACATAAGAGATTTCAGACTACCTGGTTACAGGTTTTTCTGTATTTATTCACCCATTTACCTTGCCCACATGATTTCAGCCAAACCAGTTCCTTGCTCCATTGCCGCCTTCCCCCCAAGCCACACGAGCCATCTTTTCATCTCCCCCCAGGTTTCTAAAGCACCGATCGTGCCCCCTTCCCCTGGCATCTCCAGCTACCTCCTTTCGCTCTCCATCCAGGAATGCCACCAGCCTCAGGAGGGCCTGAGGGATCCTGGCTCTGCTCTACCATTACACTTTTCAATCTTCTCTGCCAGGTAAGGGTTTTCATGAGGTAGCCTCCAAGGCAACTGAGATAGACCATCCTTTGGGCAACAAAAGAGGGGGAGAAAAGGACTGGTTTAATAGCCAGCCCCATTGCCTGCCTTCGCATTGCAGACACGCTTAATGCCGACACGAACCTGCTTCAAGAGAAGCCAAGGAGAAATCTCTCGCTGATGGTAAGGGGAGCAGAGCTGCCCAAACAGCGAGTGCTGCAGGGAACACCACCCTTGCTAGGCTCATCCTCCAGTTCCCTACCCAGGCGGCAGGGTTAGTAACGCTGCAGGAGTGCTGTCCTCTGGGAAGCTGGAAAACCAAAGACCTGCTTGAGCCAAGACCTAAGTAACGGCTTGAGCTGCTGGCAAGTTTCTCAGTGCTGGTACAGCCCTGTGCCTGTTCTGCCCACAGCTACCAAGCTGCTGTCTTCTGCTCCATCTCCTTACGCTCTCCTTTCCTGGCAGCAGTTAGTCCTCTGCGGGACTTCTCAGTAACAGTGTCAGGATCCTGATGCCACACAGGGTGGCGAGGTGGTATTCAGGCTTTGCAACCGTGATCTTAAGGAAGGAGTTCATCAAAATGATACCAGCTATGCAGAGCACACACATGCTCCCCTGGGTGTTTCCATCCAGGAAGGACCCCATCTTATTCTGTCCCTGCTCATAAATCACAGGGTCACTATCCCTATTAGCTCCTTTTTCTCTTACACACAGTCACTTTTAAACTAAAAACAGTTTGCAGAGAGAACAAAAATATGACAAAGAAAAGCTACAGGAAACCATGAAGACACTCTGTGTTAAAGTCTCCATTTGAGAAGAAGTAAATCAGCATCCCCTGGAACACAACCGAAAATAAAAGCTCCTTGCTGTTTCATTCCCCTGTTTTCCCACACTTATTTATTAACCAGCTCTTCCCCCACCCCCCCCTCCAAAAAAAGAATGTGGACATAGCAGTGGGAGAGCCCTGAGCACAGCCAGATGGAAGAGGAAAGTGTACCCACTTTTTGGGTCCATGTTCTAAGCACTGCAGCTTAAGAGAAAAGGAAATAACATCATTTTTTTCACTACATTTCTGGGCACAGCTAACCTGAAAAATATTTCCAGCCAAAGGTTATTTGAAGAAGCTGACCCAGATTTGTGAATATTTTTGGACAAGTAAAATGACATTTACTATTCACTGCAGGAAAAAAAGAAAAGAAAAGAAAAAATCACACAGCTCTCCTCTTAATTGATTGTAATCTCTCAGAAAATCTCTGTTGGCTAAACATAGTGGTTTATTTGTTTGTTTTTATCTTGTGAAATTGAAAAGGACAGTGTGGATTGTACACTTTAATTTTATCTAAAATTCCCATAAATAAGTTTTCTATTAAGTAGATGAACAATATCCTGTGACAAGGGGTTAGCTCAATACTATGATATAAAAACACAGCCCCAAGGATTATGGTTCTATTAGACAGGATTAACACCTTTCACTGGCTTGTCAACACAGCCAAATGTGCCCTGCAGCATGGAGCAGGAGGGATAGAAAGAGGGAGGCTGGGATTCACAGCAATATTAGGAAAGTATAAAATAGGCTCACACAGCGATCTCTAAACATACACTGACCTTTCTGTTGCATTCAATCACTTCAAGATGTCTAGTAGGAATAACTGTATATTAAAGTGCAGATGTGCTGCAAATACTTTAAAAGGAACAAGAGACAAACATTGTTTATTGTTGATCTTACCTGTAAACAGCTTGAGCACAGGGAAATCAGTTATTCTTTTTCAACCCTTGAAACAACCTTATATCCTACATGTGCAGAAGCCTTGGGCTATTTTGTAGTGTACTTCAATGTTGCTTCATCCCTATTAAATATTAATAAGGGTTACAGGATGATTTCCACTATTCTAGATAATGGTCTTGTTGCACTGGAGAGCACTAAATAGGGCTGCTTCAGCAATTCTCTATACTAACTTTTTCCATTAAGTGATCAATAGCTACCACCTTTTAAAAATGTATTCAACCCCATTATACTGATAGTGAAAAGCAGATTTAGGAGCTCTGGGCTGCAAAGGGAACAGGACTATTACTTTCAGTAGTGTCAGTCACTGCATTAGCGTCAGGGAACACCTACTTTGTGAAGATATGGACAGGCCTTATTTTCAGGTGAAGGGAAGCTTTTAAAGTAAATGCAAAGCTACTAGGAGAAAATATGCTATTGACTTTTGATACCAGGATTCAGCATCCTATAAAGTTAAGTGATTTTTTCTGGCTGGATTCATGCAAGAGCTAGCAACGGATACGTTAAGCAAATATGAATTTGCTCAGTAAAATCTAACGGAGGCATGGGCAGGGGAGAAACACTTCTATTTTCCCACACAAGGACGGATCAAATAATTTCTACAAATCAATGCATTAACTTTCATCCCTTCCCCTTCGGTATACAAAATTAGCAGAATAGAAAATATCAAAGACATTTTTCAGTATTTTATTCCATCTTTTCCTATATCTTCAATTCTCTGAAATCCAGGAATTTTAAATAATCATTTTAAAGGGGTAAGTGCTATGTAATTGCTGTTTATTTTAATTTGGACAGTCTGCAGTTGGTGATCTGGTGTGTCTGTAAATAGCCTGTCATTTTCTCCAGAAAATGGATTGGTATACAAATAGAAAAACAATGAGAAGAGGTTCTGCAATCTATGTCTTTCCATTATAGAACATCCTTCACTTGTAGGGCATACCATAGAGGAAGTCAGTTAGTTCTTATGATAAACTAGTCAGAGATTCTCCATGTCCAAAGACAACCTTTGAGCCAAAACTGACAGCAGTTATCCTGCTGAATACTCATAATGGGTGATATTAATCTCATATTTTCCTTTGGACAATTCACACTTCTCAGAGATCTGGTTCCCTGCTGTGAGAAATTCTGGCCCATTATGTTTTGCTTCAAGTCCTATTCAAAATAGCTTTTAAGTCCAGCATGGCGTAATAGCTTTGCACTGACCCACTCGCACAAGTAAATCTCTTCAAATTCCTCCATGTATTTTCATTTTTAGCTTCCATTCATCTTTAGACTATCCATACCATGTAAGCAGTATAGGGGCAAATGCAGTCACTGGGAGTAACAAAAAAGGAGCTCAGCATGTTGCCCAATTTTCTCGCCTGCCACAGACACTTGTACTCTTCCCTCTCTCCTCAGAAGAAGCTGCAGCAGCTGCCAAGGGGACAGTCTGTGCTTGCTGCTTTGATCAATGGAGATAAGTGGAGCTCAGAATTTGATTCATTTCTTCTATTCTCTGATGCTCCTAGTCCCTTCAGAAGGAGGAGACTACTCTGAGAATGAAATTAAGAGTTACCAAAGTAGGGATGAATATTGCCACTCTGCTAGCTTATCTTATTGCATAAGTAATCAAAGAAATTGTCTCCTACTTTCCCAGAAGGCAAGATAGGAATTTTTATCTTTTGGGATAGTCTGTGAAAAAAACCCCCACCACCACAGCAAAACCTCCTCACTTTTGTATAAAGAATGAGAATTTGCATACAAAATTCAGTAACTCTCCAAAGAGTAA